CACTCTTCCTCAATCCCAAATGACTTCATATCAGTAATTCATGTGCTCGCCGCAATACTTCCTGTCTGTATGCTACCAGCAACAAAATTTGGTGCACTTCCGCCCATTTCTCTTCTGCATGAACCTGTTGCAGTCTCCATTTTTGCCTTCAGATTCTAACCTTAAGATAATAACCCTTTGGAATACGTTTTGATTCCTTTTCCGAGTAGGTTTTATGATATAGATATTTTATTGTCTCATCTTTTTGTTGTAACTCCAGTAATCATCAGAACTAAACACCTCTGCCTGATCCTCTACCTGTTCAGATTTTTCCTTTACCATTTCATCAAACAGGGCAGCTAACTGGACCTTCGTCTTCCTCTTCAGTTTTTTTTTCCTTCTTGCTGTAACTTATGACTGTGGGATCTTGTTACCATACATTCCAGAAAAATTCCAGGGTATTTCTCTTTTACCTCCTCTGGCCCCTGGTTTTCCTTTGGCTTCTCCACTACACGAGGTGTGACTCCTGCCTTTGATCCTGCTAGGTCGTTTCCAATAACCAACTGTATTCCTGGAATTTACACCCTTTCAATTGCTCCCACTGTCACTTCCCCAGTTTTGATAGAACTTTCCAACCTGATCTTACACAGGGGAACGATAAATCTCTCTCCATCTATTCCACAGATTACCACTGTCTCAGGTAACATTTCAGAAGGAGTGCAAATACTTTCATCTCTTACAATTAGAGACTGATAAGCTCCCATATCCCTCAATATTTTTACTTCTTTACCCCCTCACCCTTTTCTTCCTGAGTAAACCTTATCCACAGAGGTGAAACCTTTATAGAGGTCAGGCACCATCTTCCTATCCAGTCTGTGACCCGGCTGCGCATTCTCCTGCAGCTTCTTGGGATTCTTTTGGGATTTTCTTTACTATCTCAACTAATCGCACTGGTTTAGCCTCATTTACCACATCCTTTTTCCCAGTGCCTTTCTTCAACTACCAGCACTGTGGCTATGTGTGTCTCACCTTTTGACAGTGAAAACACCTTTTCCCAGTGCCTTTTTAAAACCACTGGCACTGTAATTTTATGTATCCCTCTCCATTACAGTGTAAACACCTGATGTCTCTTGCCTCCTTTTCACCCGCATGGATTTATTTTTTCACCAATGGTAAACTGGTCACAGTGTGATCCACTTTGTTTTTTTTTCATTGAAGGTTCTCCCCTTTTTTTCCCAATCTACATCCCTCATGGAATGAAATTGCTGTCGGAAGTTAAATTTCGATTTATTCACTAATATGTATTCATCCGCCACCTCAGCGGCTCTTCTCGGTGTTTGAACTTTCGTTTCCTCAACATGAGTTATTATCACTTCTAGAAATGATTTTTTAAACTCCTCCAACAGAATAATCTCTCTAAGACCCTCATATGTCTTTTCTGTCTTTAATACTCTCACCCATCTATCAAAGTTATTATGTTTAATTCTTTCAATCTCGACATAGAACTGACCAGGTTCCTTCCTTATATTTCTCAACTGTTGTCGATATGCTTCTGGTACCAGTTTGTAGGCACTCAGAATTATCTGTTTGACATCTCCATAATCTCTTGACACCACATCTGACAGCACTGCAAACACCTCACTCGTCCTGCCTATCAATGTGGTCGAAAGTAACATTACCCATACAGTCCCTGGCCAGTTCCCGAAAGGAAATGGTAAAAAGGCTTCTATATCTTTTTCATCGAATTTTGGTAATGTTTGGATATATTTGTATATATCCTTATTAGGCTGTTGGTTATGATGAGTTTGCTCATCCTCACTTCTAGCTTGTACTTTTCCTTCTGCCATTTGAAATTCTTTTGTTTCAAGTTCCAACTTCATCTTTTCCAACTCGAACAGCCTTTGCCTTTCTTTATCTTCCAACATGGCTCTTCTTTCCCTTTCTTTCTCTTCCGCTTTCAACCATAATTCAAACTCTCTCTCTTCCCTTTCATTCTCTAACTCCAGTTGTCTCATTTGCATTTTTTTTCTCATTCCACTGCACTTGCCTGTTTCTCTGATACACCCAAGTCCTTGACCAACTCCATTACAATTTCAGCCTTCCTTTTACCCAATTTCCTTGAATCCAATTTTAGCCTGCATGCAAATTCTAAAAATATATCCTTCCTCGGTCTTTCTAAACTTTCTCAGCAAATTTGGGAAGCATCTCCAAACCCCAGAAACTCTTCAGTACTGGTAAGAGCCATTTCCCTCACATTTAATTTTACTCCCCACAGGTAACCAAAATTAAACAGATTTTTCTCACCTAAATTCTATTTAGTGATCTCGCACACAAATCTCCCACTCTGTTTAAATCTGTCCAAATACGTTCATATCCATTCAGATCCCATACATGAACTGGCTGGATCCCGGACTTGAGCCCCCAATCTGTTCGAGAGGGAAGAAAGACATCCCTCTGATATTTAAACCAAAACAGAAGCCCCAGTCCATTACGGAGGGAGTTGAGATTCCCCTCTAATGATTAAACCCGAGTCACCTAGAAAAGCTCGCCTCCCCATGTATGATGTGTTAAAAAGAGAGATTAAATGAAATAAAATGCCCGATATCAACTTTATAAGCAGCAAATAATTATTTATTTATTTAA